TAGAGAAGAAAACATGAGCCAAATTACAACTGATTAACAGTTTTCAGGTGAAATAGTGGTCAAAATGTGTCCGTTTTTCAAATTTTTTTTGGCTGTCAAAACATGTCCCCGTGTTCAGTGCTTTGAAAACAGTTGTTAGAAATACAACAGAACAGTCACTTCTACACTTTATTTTTTACTTTTTGTTTAAGGTTTGTATTGGTTCTTGCTCTATTGGTGGTTGGTGTAACTACATATTGGATTTTTTTAGAATTGAGCATTTTTGCTTGTAGAATTTGTTTCTGAATTCAAAAGCGCAGGAAATTCTGGTTTAAAAGAAAATTAAACACCTCTTCAGAAAACCTTGTTTGGTAGCCATAAGACAGGTTATTTTTAGGCACAGTTGGAGTGAAGTAAAGGTGATTGCACATCCCATAAGATCACCAATTCCTATCTCTTCTAGACATCTGTCCTTGCTCTTGTACTCCTAACAGCTCTGTGCGTGCCTCGATGCAGAGACAGAGAACACCTCTGTGGTTGTATAGAAGAGATACATTCAGTGCATGTAAGTTATTGTATGTAAGCAAATCTCTTCATCTTTCATAATGTGGTCTCTACAGAGCTCATGAGTAAGGCAAGAGTGATCTTGTAAAGGACAGGTGGGCTTTGGCCAGGATAATATGTTCCTTGAATAGGGATGTCTGCATTGCTGGCTTGAAAATAACTTCTGCTCTTTATGTCTTAGGAGGAGAATGATGATTTCTGAAGTTTGAGCCTAACTCCTCCACCTAGCAGTGCCACAGATTTCAGATAAGCAACCATTACTGCGATATGCGTGTACATGGATCAGGACACCAGTCATCCAACATTCTACTTCTTGAGTGAGCCCTAAGGCACTTAGAGCATGATTAATCTCACTTTGACAGTCATTAGGCTGAGATAGCCTGACATCTGTGTTTGTCTCCAAAAGCTGCTTTCTCAATGGGTTACCTGTGGGCAAACGTAAGTGGTGCTGCCTTTAACATCTGGTCCACATAACCTTACACCTCAAGTATTCCTGAGAGACTTCTGGAAACATGGTGATATTCCTGACTGGTGTGGAAAACCACACAGTGCTGGTCAAATCCCAGAAAAAAATCATAAAAAGTTAACTGTCAGACCTGCCACCCCCAACCCAAAACAGATCAGAAATATCCCTCCCTCCGAAATACAAAAGAATAGTGAAAAAGAAGCAAGGCAAAAGAAAGAAGAAAAGCACCACATTTTGCCCTGATTCAGTTAACATACTTTATGGGATTCATGGGTCCATCTTAATTTGCTGATATAGGCAATGGGACGAGGCTCTGCAGTCAGAGGAGGAGCAGAGACGCAGCTGGAGCCTCCTTTCTGGGACGTGGGGCTGAGTCTGCGGCACATCCCAGTGCTCCTGCCAGCCCTTCCAGTCTGAAAGATGTGTGTGGCCTGGCAGGTGACATAGATGCCTGTGGCCTGGCAGGTGGCTCTCCCAGCAAAGCGGCTGCAGGAAGGGTGTTTTCTCAATCAGCCAAGAACAAGGATATCGTTTTTAAGAGCAGCATACAGGATTTTATTCAACACAGTCCTTACGTGCTTGATGAAGCAACTCACGTAGCTAAAGGGCTTAGAGTTTAGATAGTATATTATTTTGATTTTATTTTTAAAGGGAAATCTGCTTGCACTAGGCTGTTTTTAGAAGCTGGTAACTTAACTTGTCCCTTTTGTTCTTCGAAACTCAAAGCAAAATTTAATGAAGAGCCAGGGTGAAATGACCAAGATATAAGCTGAGCTTATCTATCATTGCCCTAATCAAGACAGAAGAGTGACTATTTAGAAGTGTTTGGGAGATCAGAAGTCATTTAAGAAAAATTGTCTTACACAGAGGCAAATGAGGAGTACTATAATGTGTTCTCCCCATAGGTTTGCTGTTGAGACAGTAAGAAAAGCCTGGTAAATAATAAAATGTTAAACTACAATGAAATTATCTTCTCTGCCTGTTATATGATTGATCAACTTCATTAGTTCTAATACTAAGCTTTGCAAACAACAACAGTTAAAACATTAACTACATGAGCTTTTAAAAACGGTATTTCTCATTCAAAATTAACATGATATAATTAAGTTGATGACATATCACCTAGAAGCTGGAAGGCTTCAGCTAAGAATAAATAGTAAGCAAAGTTAGCAAAGGTACTTTGCAGGAACACTACCCAGTCCAAAAGTGAGCAACTTGGAGCCACCCAGTGTCCTTAAACTGCAGATGAAGGGTGCTCATCAACAGTCTGCAACTGTTTTTCCTGTATTCCTAATTATTTGCAGGTTTAGTTTAAAGCAAATGCCATAAATCGGTGCAAATGAATCTGCTAGCATGTCAAATTGTTAAAGGATGTTAAAGGTGCCCAGATGCAACCTTTACAAAAGGGAAGCAAAGCAAAGGGTTTTTGACTGTCTAGGTCAGAACAATCCCGTTCATCTCCACGAGAGTCACAGCACATTCTGTAAACTGCTTCAGTATTTCAGAGGAAGCAAAGAGTAAGACCGGAAAAGTCAGTTAAGACCTCAGCAGTTCACAGGAAAACTCCTCATGTATCTTCAAGTTTTCCAGGTTGGTAGTATTTGCAGAAGCAGTACTGCAATGTACCTCTGACTTTTATTTGGCAGAAGTGAAATCCACTTGAGTGATTGAAATGCCATTTATCCATACAAAAATAAACCAACCACACACATAGTTGCAATCCAATAATTAAGAAAATCTTACAGGATTTTTCTTGCAGGATGGGGCAGTTTGGGATTCAAATAAAGAGAATGTTAATTGTGCCCGTTTGCAGGAGACCCTGTACAGCTGCCATTACCTTACACAAGAGGGAAGCAGAGAGTAGCCTCTTCCTAACAACCCAAGCATTAGAGATGGAACAAGTAAGGAGAAATAAATCCAGCTCAAAACCTTCCTGATGTCTGTGGACTGGTATCCCCCTCAGTGTCCTTCCCACCCCCACCTCAGAACAATATCTCTGCAGTTCCTAGAGTAGCTTAAAACCTGAAGAGTATGTATATATATATTTATATATATCTCAGAAGGTGTTTTTTCAGACCACTTTTTTTTTTTTTTGGAAGTTGATGAATTAATTAACAAAATCAACATATGAGCTGTGACATATTTACTCAGTGATTCCCACCAAATGTGACAGATTTAAGAGGACGGCTCTGTTGTCCCTCTGTTCTCTGCACCTGAGACAGCTAAATGCACCACGAAGACCTTACTGAGCTCCTGTTCCAAGCCTCATCCTGGTCAACATAGAGATTCCTTTTGACCTTCCTGGAAGTTGGATTAGGCCTTTAAAACCCATACATTTTAAAACATTCCATGAGGGTTATGTTTGCTCTAAAACCACAGTGAAGTAAATGCAAAACTATATTAATATTTAACATTGGCTTATAAAAACTAGGAACTTGTAGTCAGGACAGCCGGTAAAAGTTTAATTCACATCGTCGTTTCAAAATGAAAACGCAGAAGAGGACAGAATATCACATTTTCACGTTCAAAATCTATTTGTTTTTCTTTAAAATCCAGTTTTGTTATTTCTAAAGCTATATCTGTTAAATAGCCATGAAAAATATTTCTCATTTATACAATTTTTTTGTTTACTTTTCCGATCTGGTGGCACTGGTTACACTTAAAGAAATCAAAATAGGGAAAAAAAGGGTCAGAGGGAAAAAAAGAGAAGAGAGTAGATTAGTTAAAAGAAATACAAACACAAATATTGTGCTTGTGGACTGTATTTAGGGGTTGGCCAGAAGTCTAATGTCTTGATAGATGGTTCTGGGCACACAGTTTTATTGCTGGTACACAGCACACTTTGTTCCTTTTGTTTCACTAAACTTGCCATCTCTGGAAATTAGTGACATGGGCATTCAAAATGTTGGACAAGGGGTCAGACTGATACACACATACATATTCATATTCAGTGGTAAATTATGGCAGGAAGCTTCAGATACAGGAAAAATGAATTCTTTTGTTCAGCATGGCTTTAATATAATGCTTGTTTTGCGAGCACTTTCACCGTTGGAGCAGGAGTGCCTCTTAGATAGCACACAGGAGAGACATCATTTAAAGAAATGTTTCTTTGCTTGAACCAGAAGTCCAAATCTGCTCAGTTAATTTAAAATATTTTTTTTCCTCCAGGATAAATGAATAAGCAGTTCCTTTTGTGGTTTTTGCTTGGTGACTTGCAATTATTCTTCCAGAAGAAAAAGTATCGGACGCTCATATGAACAGATGTGTCCCTCCTTCCCAGCCCCACACACACTCTCTCCCTTTGGAAAATAAAGGTGACGGGCCTCGTGTTTGACTAAAAGAGGCTATAAATCTTCTGGAAATATGCTGCTATGTCTTTGAGTGTAAAAAGTATCCAGGAAGGAAAACAGGTTAAAAAGCAAAGGGTCCTTGCAACAAGTCGTGCGCTGTGCTTGGTTTTTTAACCCTTAGAAGTACAGGGCTGCTTTAATAAACTGCCAGTGCAGGAGACCCTTCTGCTTCGCGGCGTCAGGCTGGCGGGGAGGCAGGGGCACGTTTGGGTGTGCGGGACGGAATATTCCCGCACTCCAGCTCAGCCGGTCTCGCGCAGAGGTCAGGCACGGGGCCTGCCGAGAGGAAGAAGCCCCCAGAACGCTAAGGCTGACCTGGCCGCAGCCCCAATCCCTCCGCGCCCAGCCCCATCCGACCGACAGGTAAGGAGCGGGGCCGGTCCTGCCGCGGGGCCGGGAGGACAGCGAGGTGCGGGGCGATGTTCCGGGAGCGGAGGGCGCGGGAGGCGACAGGGGCCGTAGCAGGTGAACGCAGGCGCGGCCCCGCGGGGGCGCGGCTGGGGGGGCCGGGTGTGTGTGCGTTGGGGGGGAGCTGCCCCCCAGCCCCCGGACGCGGCGCAGGAGGCCCCGCACCGCACCCGGGGCCGCCCCCTGCTCGCCCCGTCGGGGCGGGCGGGCAGCGGGGCGGCGGCGGCGGGGAGATGGCGGGGCGGCGGCGGGCGCCGCCGCTGCTGCTGCTGCGCTGCCTCCTGCTGGGGCTGCTGGGCGGCGGCGGCGGGGGCCAGCCCGGCGGCGGCGAGTACTGCCACGGCTGGGTAGACGGGCAGGGCGGCTACCACGAGGGCTTCCAGTGCCCCGAAGGCTTCGACACGGCGGCCGCCACCATCTGCTGCGGCTCCTGCGCGCTGCGCTACTGCTGCGCCGCCGCCGAGGCTCGCCTGGAGCAGGGCGGCTGCACCAACGACCGGGAGCCCCCGGACCCGGGAGTCACCGCCCGTGAGTGCCCGGCCGCGCGTCCCGAGGCGGGCGGGAGCCGGTCCCCACGGAGCATCTCCCGGCCCGAGCCTGGCTCCGGGGCTCCCTGCCCCGTCCCATCGGGTGGGCAGGAGGCGGGCGCGGCTCCAGGTGCGCACGGGGCGGCGGCGCCGGGAGCGCGGCTGCGGAGCGGCCCCTGCGCCGGGAGACAGAGCGGGCACCCGGGGGGCGAGAGGGGAGGGGCAGCTCCGCGCTCCGAGGGCACCGGCTGCTGGAGGCATCTCGACTGAAAGGCACACTTATATTTTATGTTCGCATCGGCAAACTTTGCTGTGCCTGTTTAACTTTGTTGCTCCCGGAGGTGAGAGTGGTGCTCTGCAAGCACAGCCCCACCGTGCGAGGGACCGTCAGTTTCCCAAACAAAAGGAATCCGGCAGCGCACACGGAGACTGGTTTCCCAAGTCAGACGTTCTGCGCTTATCTTCCACCTTTCGAATGGAAGTGATTTAACAGCATCTGCAGCATTTGAGCTTCGCCTGCAGATTCAAGGTGTTATATTAGACAGTCCCGACGGTCTGGGGAATGAGGGAGGAGGACAGGAGTGAGATTCTTGAGCAATGCCCAAGAACCAGCAAGCAGAACATGGTATAAACAGCTTTTACCTTTGGTAACTAGTAAAACTGTCAAAAGAAAGAAATTTTTATTTCCCTGGAACCTACAAGGTTTAAACTTTAATTTTGTTTCAGTGATAATGGTTGAAAGTTCTGTATTCTGAGCAGCTCAGTGTGTCAGTGGGACTGAAATGGGCGGCTTTGTAAACACTGTGGAGTTTTTATTTTTATACAGCAGACCTATATTTCAGTAGACTAATTTGCACGGCTTTTCTTCTTCTTTCTTCTCCCAGAACCAATCTACGTTCCATTCCTCATTGTTGGATCAATATTTATTGCCTTCATTATTGTGGGCTCACTGGTAGCTGTTTATTGTTGCACATGTTTGAGACCTAAACAACCATCACAACCAATACGATTTTCTCTGCGGAGCTATCAGACCGAGGCTCTTCCTATGATCCTGGCCTCCACAAGCTTCAGGACACCATCCAGGCAATCCAGTACCGCGACAAGTTCCAGTTCAACCGGCGGCTCAGTTCGGAGGTTCTCCTTCCCCCGGGCAGAGCCAGGGTGCCTTGTGGCATCACCACCTCCACCGTACACATCTGGCTGCTTCCAGACAGCCCACACAGTCCACCTGACCCAGCCAACTGGATTTCTGGTGTCGCCACCGTACTTTGGGTATCCTCTCCAGCCAGAGCCTGCCTTGGCTGGGAAGAGCTGCTCTGATTTTACTCAGAGCTGAAAAGAGTTGTGAAGAAGTAACACAGCCTTCAGAAGCAGAGGGACTGCTGCTGGTGGGTGTCACACTGATGTGTTCTGTGGCTGTAGAAGTCAGAACTGTTCCCGTGGGTGAGTTGCCCTTGAAAAGTGCAGAGTCTCGCTTGGGATTGCATTTCTCAAACTTGGATCATACTTACAAATGAGCTGTAAAACATCCCAAACTGTTGCTCTAAAAATGGACTGCTCTGATCTCTCGGCCTAATTTGTGCAGAATGTGTTTAGAGACAAGTAAAAGAACCATTTTGGGATAAAGGTACTTATTTCACAGTGTAATAAGTAACATTTTACTAGGGTAAAATGCAGTTAACTTAGTTAACAAACAGTGGCTGCATTCCACTGATAATAATCAGACTAGTTGTATAAAGCAGCAATAAGCCTGAGAAGTAAGAGAGAAGTAATACTTACTAAAGAGGATACCTGAAACAGCTGACTGCTTACTACTTCCATGAGCAATTAAAAGGAAGAATTTTATTAGATATCAAAATGCACAGATTTTTTAAAAATACACATACCTGAACTTACACTGCATATTTGTAATAGTAAACTTTAACTATGATTGATAAAACTAGTACTAATTAGGCTAGTTGAAAATAAGCCAGTCTCAAGTAGCCAAATTACCTATAAGGGAAGCCGAATGTATTCAGCAATATCACCAATAACTTCTAAGAACTGTGTTCTACATAAAGCATTTTTCAGAAGGAAATATTTATTGTCAGCTTTTTGCTCAGCAAAGTGTAAGTTGGACTGATCATGAAGTTCTTTTTGTAAAATTAGCCGTGTATAAAATGTAAAGACAAGCTTGTAATTTAAAATGTATTTACAGCATTGACAACACTAATTATTCAGTAGTCACACACACAAAACAAATTACCAATAAACTGTGTGGTTGAAATGTTGTGTCATCTGTATGACTCTGTACTGGTAGTGTTTGATAAATCCGATTGGTGTAAATACTCTTGTGTTTTTTCCTGTTAAAATAGCTTATTTTGGTTTTTAAAATGATTTACATCTTCAGCTGCACCTGTTGTGCAGATTTAATATAATATAAAATTCTGATTATATCGCAAACTAATAGATTCATTAAAGTCTTTTACATGCAGCTGTGGTGAACATGATACTGATTAGTTGCTATTTTAGACTAAACATCCTGCACTAGGAATAAATTTTGTTTGCCCTTCTACATTCCTTCACCCAAGTAAACCAACAAACCAAATGGAAGAAGAAAAAAAAGCATCTAAACCAAACACATGTAGTAAGCAAATGTAAAATACACATGAAAAAAATGCAGTCATTAAAGGGCTTCTCTGTATACTTATTTTTGTGAACAAACGAAGTCATTCTTTGGGTCAGAATCTACAATATCAAAGGCTGAGCTTTCCTATTTTATCAGCCTTAAACTCCCTGTGTATAGAATCTGTTGAAGTACATTATAGCTGACCTATCTTACAAGTATTTTAGAAAAGCTTCATTGGTTCTTCCTCAAAAATTGAATACTTTTTTTTCCTAACAAATATCTAGTGATCAGTAGTTATGACAAAAATATTTTGAAATAACCCTTTTAATATGTTTTTTATTGCACAATTAACATTACAATCCAACAGACATTACTGCTGGTAATGCAGTTTCTAAGCAGAAAGACAAGTTGTACACAATGATGTTTTAAGTAATAGACTTTAGCTTGAATGCTGTAATTGTTAATTACAATCTAAATCATGATATACAGTCTCGTATATGTTTTACTAAAAATTAGATTTTAAGCACTTTGGAAGTTAATTGAAGGGTAAGTGTTCAGGCTTGCAATTTTGTTTTAGAAACAAGCTTCAAGGGCAGGTAAATTTTTGGTCACCTATGATGTTTCATAGGACTCTCCCCACATATTTTGAATGGCTACTAGATATGGGACTGTTCATCAAGTAACTTTTTTGAAAAATCACTGAATATTGCAATAGGTATCAGCCCTGTTGTTTGGAAGCATACTGTGAGATCTTCTGACCATTCCTGTATACAGCAGAAACAGTAAACCAATTAAACTGGATTTTTTACAAGTATAGTAAAGACTTTATAGTAAGTCTCCAATTACTAAAAATCTCTATCTAGTAAACCAAGGCAACACAGACCCCTTCGGGAAGCAGACACTTCATCAATTTTAACTAAGAAGGTGCAATTTATTTACCTTTAAAGAGTAATTAAGCCATCAAAGGAACTGACACAGGTAGTGAGTGGCTGAAATTCAGTGTCTTCATCAAAGATAGGCTGTATGCAGCAAAGATAGTTGTGAGTTAGGCTCAGTCACTGCCCATTTCCATTTGGTGCTGTACACCGAACAGGCCAGGCTGCTTCACTGCGACGGTCTCAGTGGGTTCTGCAGTCAGAGTTTTAATATAGGGACAGTTTTTGATACACTTGCATACAGCTTTAGACTGTAATGATTATTCAGCCCAAGGAGAGGCTGTGAAGTCTGCCATTTAGAGTGAAACTCAGTCTAGCAAGGAAGACACATCTGAGCCACTTCTGTTCTTCCCCTGATGCTGAATAATGGGTTTGTTCTCATAAAATGCCTGAAGAACTTGACACACAGGAATAATTTCATTGAATCAGACTTAGATAAGCCTGTGACTTTATAGCGTGCTAACTACTTCACAGATCAGTAGCCAGAGTGCAGTAAGTCCTGCAGATGATGTTGTAAGGGTGGGAAGATCATGTGTAGTTAAAATAGCTGTACTAGGTTACCTGTGATGCAGGTGAGGTGGGGATTACGCACCATCTGCAAATGGATAGACAAAAAAGAATCTGTAAATTAAAAAGAATCTATTATTGTTCATGTAGATACAGTACAGTAGCTAAAGGGACAGAAAAGCAGGTGGCCAGAATACAAGCCTATGGATGGAAATGCTTGTTGCCTGTGCCTGTAGTTTCCAACCCAGATGGATTCAGTGTGTGGGCAAGAATGCTGAATTGCCTTCAATGAAAAGGACCTATTGGCACTCCTACAATTTACAGGAAACAGGAAATTTTCCTAAAACTTGCAGACAGAACAAAAATGACATTCTGGTAAAAGTTTTAATGACTAATGAAACAGTTTGAAGGCCTGGATGTAAGCTTGAACCAAGAGCAATTGCTTGCTATCAGAAGTAACATTTACAGGCAATACTTACTTTACTGCCACATTAACAAAGTAGATTTAACTATTTCTTCTGTAATTCTGGAGTTAGTTCATACTCCTTTTACTAGGGTGATGTCAATCTAAAATCAAAATGAAAGAATATTCACACAATAAATAACTGTCATTCATACATGATGCAATAAATGCTTTGCTTGCCATTACTTGGTAATGACTTAGATGAAACTCAAGTCTTCTGTGGATTACAAATAATAGTGACATGCCATTTATTTTGTGTTTCTACACTTTGGTATTCTTAAGCAGGTATCTCCAAAATGTAACAAGACTCTCCAGTGCTAGGATAAACATTACAAGTACTTGCAAGAATGCCTGAAGGATTTTTGAAACTAGGTAAGCAGTTTCGTATATGGCTATGTAAACTCATGGATTATTTGTTGTACTAATCCCACTTGAATTTAAAAAACAAAGTGACAATTTCAAAATTATTTTGCCATTACTGTTCAGTTACAGCTTGACAGCAACACCAAGGAGATGAAGTCTGTTTTCAGTGCTGTTTTGCTGCCTATTGTGATGTGCTGTGTGGACTTGAACTACTCTGAATGATGTGTCTGCTTTTGAGGTGGCTACTGCTCCACAATACTCATGTAAACAGGTTTTGACTCACAGTTACATTGAAGCTATAATTCCATGCTATCCTGTTTTCATTAGCGAAGGCACAAGAAATGCCTTTCTGTTCTTTTTATTCTTTCCATCTATGACTTGTGCAAATTCAGGGGGCTGTAGTGCATATCAGGTCCGTGAAATGATTTTAGTTTAAAAATAATGTTTGCCATAAGAAAGGAGGAAAATGATTTGAAAGGGAGCCTGGATCATTATAAACTGGATTATAACCCGAAAAATTTCAATGTCGCCATGACTGCCAGTGTATTAGAGGTGGTGACATACCACGAGGTGGAACATCCTTAAACCACCTTTGCCACTAAAAGACTGGGTCTTGTGAAACCAGCAACAACTAGGTTGTTATCAAACCTGCTTGACAGAATACAAAATAAATTCATTGTCTAGTGCATATATAAAGAATCAGTTGCCTGTCTACAACCAAAACTTAGTTTAGGTTTGGATATATTGATTTTTATTCAGTGGCAGGTACTGTTACAGGAACGAAATACCCACTATTATCATAGCCAAAGGATACAGTATTTATCACTGTCGTCTGAAAAGAGAGGTGACGTTTCCTTATTCCCACTCTTACCATTCTGGTACTGCATACTGCTCTTTCAAAATATGGTGTTACCACCGGAGTACGTTAGGGCTCAGCTGGAAGTCACTAAATCGCAGATACCAGTGCTCCTTGTTTGTTTGTTTGGGTTTTTTTTTAAACCTTTTCTGGACTTCACATGACAACTGAAAAAGACATCTCAAAATAAATGTTTAAAAAAAACCCCAACACAAAAAACCTTAAAACAATTTTCTACTTTTCAGTTTACCTTAATAAACATAAGAACTCTTTGGTATTTGTGTTTCTGGTATGTTCCATTTTATACAATTCAAACCCAAGAGTGACGAGATACATTTTCTTCTGAAAGTAATCACTAGCATTTCCAACCAATCAAGTCAACAAAGCTTCTTAATTTAATGGCAAAGTTTATTCATTTTTTAACAATTAAAAGACAAAACATTTAAAATTTGCAGTTCAAAACATGCACATTCACCAAATGCCAAATGACATTTAACACTGCATAGAACTGAATGTGTTACTAAAAGAACAATTTAAAAAACACAGTGCATTTAACATCCACTTAAAACTAAACCTGAGAAACTACCATAAACATCTAGTCAAAAAATCTTCATTCATGCAGCTTCATAATTTCCATGACGGTTTCAGCAGTAATGGCCTAATGGAGCTGTAAAACCTCACTTTACCTTGAATGCAAATTCTGCTGTTTCAGACTGACTGCTTCTGCAGTGGTTCATACATATCAAACACTGAAAATTGTAATGAAAAATTATACTGAAGTAGAAAAACAATATTGATGCATTTATGGCTTCTATTCTACATTAAAGAAACACCATAAAATATGATTTAAAAAAAAAAGTCTTGTTCTGGTCACAGCTTTGCAATTACAGATCACACTCCACATAGATATACTTTTATTTCAGTATCAGCCCTCCAAAGTATCCAGCTTTGCACATCATTGCTCAGATGAGTAGTGCTGAAACTGACAGGCAGTCCAGTTGAAGCCTATGTGAGTAACACTTTGCATAAGCAGGAACCAGGTTTGGAATGCTAAAATATTCCTTTGTTTAATAAAGATCTATTGGTTAACAGCGAGGAAACTGGGGAAGTGAGGGTGGGGGGAGGAAGGAGAAACTCAT